CCTTCCCCGATCACCATGCCAAAGGATAATTCACAGAGTTCCAAACTGTCCAAGTCCTCCAGTAGGTTCAACATCCTTGGACGGCCGTTATCCGAAGCACGAGACTCACTCAATCAACATCGTCGCCCCCGTTGGGCTCTTCAACAGTGGATTCTGCTTTGGGTGAGCATGCTATCATCTAACTGTTCGTACTTCTTTCTAAACTCAATGTAGAATCATCTATTGTTACCACTCCAAGTGGTAGGCGTCGTATTATCACCTCGCAGATGGCGTACTCACCACAATCCTAGGTCATCCATTAGCGCCGTTACCTGAGACGCAAACGCCAGCTATTTTTTCAGTACTACAAGGTCATTTATTGTCTGAGTTATCTCGATTTTCAGGCTGATTGGCATCTCCAGCCCAGCAAACCACGCTCACAACCGCATCTCTCAATCAATCTCATGGTGAGAAGGCAGTCACATATTATATCGATTGGGTATTTACATTCCGTAACCTTCCTTAAGGACTGGCCAGTAACCCCCCAGAGAATCGTCAGACAGCGCCGAAGCTTGGGTCAAGTACAAAAGATATCCTAAAGTTGACAGGAAGGTCCATCCTGACACTCGCAAAGAGGCCGCCAGACATCGCAGACCCAAACCCAGTCAAAACAGCTCTTGGATTTGTGAAGCTGATCATCGAGGTCCAACAGGTTCGGCGTCGTTCTTCACACTGCTAATCCCCTGACTATCGTCCCAGGCTGTGGCAGACAATATGGATACCGTCAAACGAAAGCTAAATTCGACGCGAGCTCAGCTGGAGACGGTGGAGAAGGAACTGGATGGTTGGACACCGAAGACTGCTCAAGAAAGGCAATTTATAGACTCGTTCATATAGTAAAGTTTGTTGTTTTACTATTGAGATTGAATTGACAACCCTCTGATAATTTAATACCCTTAAAAGAATTGAAGGAGTTGGAGAAGTTGGGCGACGAGTGGTTCGGCGGGAAGGTCGCGGACCACGAAGCAGAGAAAGGATGTATCACGGAAATTTTCGGACGTGAAGAAAAGCGGCGCGTGCGACGTGTGATATGCACGTCAGGAACTCACGTTGGACGAGATCAGAAATTTCTTTGATAAAAAAATGGCGATCTTGTGAGATTGAGCGTTATGATACATAGTGGCAAACATTTCATTGTCGCAGCTATCCCGCAACTTGTACGGGATTGTGGGGTTGTATATAACGTACTTACTGATATAAATACATTTTGAAACCGCATCAGCAAAAACTCGTATAAACTTAGTGATCGATGATAGCTGAATTAGACAAAGATCAAAGAGGGGTAAGAGGCGGATTACCTCTAACAGCAACTGAAAAAGACGGAGTTTTTGAGCAACTTGTTTGTGACGACGATGATGAGGGGGTACTTACAAGCTACTTTTCCAGCGGAGTCCGTCGCCAAGTAACAGTCAAAGACTTGAATAAATAGCGATGTCAGCATTCTAACTCTGAAATTCCAAATCCACAGAATATGCATACCATAGACTTGGTTATTACCATAATTCCGAT